CGAGAGATGCAGAAACGGCGAGATGGAGAGAATCGATCTAGCTCTAGGTTTAGAGAGAGGAGACGAAGAGTCCAGGAGTAGAGATAAGGTGTGGCGTAAATGTGGAGTTAGTGTGGTGGTTGTGGCGTAAATGTGAAGGTGGGGGTATTTTAGACATTACACACCCTTTTTGAGTGTGTGGGAAGATAGTTTTAGGACATGGAGAAAAATGAAATGAAAAGAAAGTTTTAAGACGGAGGATTTATTAAAGGATTTGAAAGTTTGAGGTGTAGAAATTTGAAATGTGACAATATAAAAAAGTATCATTACAAGCGTCTTGTTCTACGACTAAATCGCATAAACCTTCCCAGTCCGATTCTTTCCCCTCTCTATGGGCTGATTTCTTGATCGGCCTAATCTTCTTCACCAAAAAATCCGCCGACTCTTCGCGATAATCTTCGCCGAAGGAAAGGAAATCTGCACCCACAACGAAGGATAGTCAAAATCCGCTGATTCTTAGCGGATTCTTCGCGTCAATTCTGAGATCTGCTACGTAAACATCCGCTTATTCTTTGCGTCAATTCTAGAATCAGGTTTGTTTCCAATATTCAATTGGTAATTTCGTGGATTCTGATTCACTGGAAAGTGAATTTAACATATATATAAATTATTTTTATGGAACTAAACCCTTCACTGGAAACATACTTCTTTTTCTGTGAACTTCATAATCCGATACTTTAGGGTACTGATTTCCTCTTTAGTTTCCTTTCTTTTTTGAATTACATTCTGCGAGACTTGATCAGCTCAGACACCTCACTAGCAAATCCACCTTGACTCGACACTAAACAATACGTTAAAACCCTTTCAAGATATGTGGATGAACACATAACAAATTAGTGCACCAAACATTACTTTGGGTTCCAAACGTAACTAATTTATACTATGATAGCTTTCATCTTTTTAAATTGTTCTTATCTTGCATCCCCCACTATATGTATTTTCAATAGAACCCTTTTTAGCATTTAAACATGCATCATTGTTGTTGTTGTTGTTCTACGATCAAACTCGGATATTGGCTACAACATTTTTATCCTTAATGGAAGTTGTATTTTTTTCTCTGCCTTGCAAAATTTGATTGAAGTCTAGAATCTCAGAATAGTTGGTTTGAACAAAGTGTAGATGATAACTCTCATTCTACACCCAACAAAAGAATACAAGAGATGGAGCATTGTAATGTAGATGAGGATGAGCCAACGAATCGCAGGTATGTCATATCCTGTTTATCCTTTCTGCTGAAATCAAATTTAGCTGTTCAGGTTCAGATCAAATTGTTTGCTGTTGGTTTGTAACATAATATAAGAAGACTAATACTGATCAGATTATATTCAGACCTAATGCTCTTGCCTTGGTTGGTAACAAGTATAATGCCTGTCTGAGTTAAGTTTCTGCTTGAATGCATCCCTGTTGACGAAAGTTTGTGTTTCTCAGAGAGCAGCTTAAAAACTGTATTTCACAGTATTGTTATATTTAAATCACGCCTTTGTAAATACCTGCAATTATATTGAGTAGTAGTGTTTGATACCTCATTGGAGTTAACTCTGTCTGACTATCTGTCATTCACTCATTTGGCAGGGTGACCC